CCGGCCCGTTTGGCCACTCAGTGTGGACATGCCTGAGTGCGGTTGGTTCATGAATCACTTGGACCTCATTGCAGTAGTTTCTTAAGGAAGCCTGCTGGGAAAAGTGCTTTTTCGCCATTATGAGGTTCCCTAGTGATACGAAACGAAGACCATAACTCGTGTACGTGACGTCATGAGCAGCAGGTAAAACGTAGCTCATTTTTTGCTTCATTTATTTTTCAAATGGCGTCACCATAGGAATATAAGCGACGAGTACGTAGGTAGATGCAAGTACACCGTAGCAGTCTCCCGGAATGCCGTGAGCAGCGGGATAACACAGCCGAAAAACGTTTCCCACTGGAGGTTTCCAACTGATGATTCAGTCATTCGTCTCAGTGACATCGTCAGCAGGATATAGGACACGTGTTGCTACGAGCACCTGCTTGGATTTTAATGTTGTCATCATAAAGAGCTCGCGAGTCCTTGTGATGCCGTGAGAAGTAAAGTAAGCCAGACTTTCACATTTCTTCCAGTAACGTCATGAGGAGCACCAAACTTGTCGTTGGGAAGATTTACCCGGCATGGCAGCGGCGTTTCGTCAACTGATTAGCCGGTCCTCATTACAGACGTGTTGACGCTTTTCCCTCCGCAAAGCATTGTCGGCCGCAAGGTAAAGAGCACGGGGCATTCTCACCGGTGTTAGTAATTTGGCGTTGTTAAATCAGCTGTTACCAGTCATTTATAAATAATAAGCTGCTATCTCATAGGTTTGACATAGAGTAGTCAACCAGTGTGGTACATTGTGTAATGGCACGGGTCAACAGTGTCATCGTGGCACTACTTCAGTGCTGTACTGTGGCATGGTATAATGAACGCTGATATATTTTTGTACTGCAACCCCTGCTGCTTCCATAATAACTTCCATCATGCAAAGATGGGTCAAGTGCGCATTACTGGATTAACTTCGTATTTGACATGACATACCAAATACACATGATACAATTTACAAATCACTTTCAACGGAGCGCACAACCAATATGTGATATCACCTGCTCAGCCTGTTTTAAGAATCCACAAAACTTAAATGATAAATATGCAAACACGACTTCCGCTTCCACAGCCATGCACCATGCTGCAGCCATCAGGCTGCTTCGCTCGAAAATAAAAAGATAAAATTCCATGTATTGAGCTGGCATTGCAAGTCTGCTAATGTTGAACAAGGCTGGAGGCAAGACAAGTGCATGTAGTTATGGTTAGATGGGCAAAACGCAGGGAAGTGATGAAGCTGCCAGTGCACACAAGGCTCATGTTAAAGATATTATTATGTGCTATCCAAGAAACCAACAGCAATACTTTTCCATCTTTCTCAGCACCCAGCATCTTGCAGAAGTTGCAGTGACTATGAAATTGATAACTCACAAGCAATACTTGCCTGCATACAAAATTTGTCGAGACATTAGTATGTGCATCCATAATAATACAACACTATAGTTTCAAGATTTTTAAGGGAAAGACAATTTTGCAAAGCCTTATCATGTGAGCTTTTACCAAGCATGTGCATTAATGAGCCGTGCAGATCACCCCTACTGCCAAAATGAATTGCTAATACAATGACATGCAATGGATCAATTACATGCTGTAATACCTCAATAGGTTCAAAATGTTGGTAAGATCATAATGAAGTAGCAAATTGCGTTTGTACGCCCCTGCACCAAAGGTGCTAATGTTTCTTTCAGTTTGCCCCCATCACTACGTTGTCATGTTCAAACGCAAACATAAAAATGGAGGCAGGTAACGGTATATTGCATTCTATTGGGAGTCAGAAGACTTAAAAAATACCAAAAGAACTGTCAGAAGTACAAACCTCTCGCGTACATTCCCATCATATCAAGATCAATACAAGCCACTGGCACGTACCCCCAGTGATCACACCCATTTCAAGCCTCTGATTCACATTTCGTCATCCAATAATTGTGCTCCCACACCTGCGCAGCTCGCGGGACTATCAAAGTGCAAGATTTCCCACAATTTCCGCACAGGTTTTCGGTTATAACACCGCATTTCACTGTGAGGTCCCTTCAAAACAAAGTCTCGACGGGGTTTCATGGTAATGCAGCCCAATAGATTGTGCTGGTAGGACACAGTTTTTGTGTTCAAGGTTAAACTTTGCCGCACAACACGTGTTAAATAATTAACAAAATATATACCTAAGATAGCTGTAATGTTTTCCTAATTTTACAACGTCATGCTAATCCACAAACCCGTGTAAGGTTCTTTTCTCCGGTGTACAATGCGTCAACCAAGCCGTCTGTAAGAAATACGCCAGTAGAGGAAGAAAAAGCACCAGCAGGAGAAAAAAGACAGATTTTCTGTCGCATCTTCTTTTTTATAACATTCGGGGAGTATGATTTTTTCGGCGCCGTACTTTTTTGCAGACAGTGGCGTTTTTTATAACATTGACCTATCCCTAGAAATAAGGAAAATTAAAAAAATCACGACGAGTGCCGCACAACCCGAAAATGCTCACGCTTACGTCCGCGGCGCACATTCAGGAGCGAAATTTTACTAACTGCCAATCACCTCCCGCGCATTGTATCATACGTGCCGCATTATCGCATTTACGGATGTATAAGCGGCCGTGCTGTTTTGACCATAGGCAGCAAACAGCCTGTAATATAACGGCGACCACATGACGTTTCTATGACGACATCAATGCCATGGCGACTTTCAAATAGTCTCCCAATAAACCTTTTCACACTTTTGCGGGCGAGTAATTCAGGAACTCAAGATGTTGGGTCTTAAAAAGGACATGGCCGTGAATTGCGTCGAGGACTTCAAGATGGCTATTTCAGTTCAAAACCCCATATAAAGAAGGAGCATTCCCTTTAAATATCGTCAAAGGGCACACTTTTTCGTTGAGAGAGGGACCTCCCGTGCGCCCACCCGGCCGTCGCTAGCTCCCCGAATGGGACATTATATATTCGTCAGGCAAATGAGGTAATAATTGTGATTATAGAACGTGCCCGCATCCTGGTAGCCATTTCGATGAAGGCTTACGATTACAGTACCATATATATATATATATATATATATATATATATATATATATATATGTATATAATTTTTGACTTTACAATGGCATTTTGCGGAACCTGCATCACAAGCCGACATTACATGTAACAACAAATTTCCGTAAGTACCGGCTTACGCTCCATGCCTGCGACAGATCTAGGCACGAAACCTGTTTCAGACGAGTTTCTTCTTTCGTCCTGTATACAAAGCATATCAAGTCGACTGCGCTGAAGGAGGGGCAAATAAATGCCCCATGGACAAATTCATGCCTTAGACAGGCAGTTTCCCGAAAGTTTAATTTTTACTGAGTGTGGTGTAAGGGATAATTTCGCAAATAGGAACTGTAGCGGGCACGCCATCTGCTGTACACACCAATAATCAGCGATGCTCGTCCATAAGCTTGCAGTAAAGCAGTCACGCGATTAGTCAGCAGTCAGTTATTCGGGGGACAGCCAGTCTAGGCAGTGCCCGCCGACGGTGGACGGGAGCAGAGCTCGGACGAGGAAAATCCGAAAGGAGTGCGTTCAATCTCTGACTGGTTTTCACAGGCAGAACTCCAGTTATATGGCTTTAAGGCCAAGACGTTTTGGTCACCTTGCCTTTGCCAGGTAGTATTTCAAGATTCCGAATTTGTTTTTACCCAAAATGCTTCGACAAGAACCGGTCTCTTGAAACCAGTCGGCGAAGCCCAGGCACACGGAAACTTTGACGCGCCATAGGCTGTTAATTCGAATTTAAACAAATTATCACCTGCCTTTGACCTGGCCGTATTGCGGTAACTGTGGAGGCTGTCACCTTTCAATTACACAAAATGCCTAACTGCTCGTGGAATTTCACCTGCCCAAGGGAAACGATGTTGAAACGGAGAAATATTTGTTAAAACTGGTTGATCTTATTTGTCGATGGTATAGGTGAGCAGATGGTAATGGTATATACCGATAATGGAGGTGTGTGTGTGTGTGTGTGTGTGTGCGTGCGTGCGTGCGTGCGTGCGTGCGTGCGTGCGTGCGTGCGTGCGTGCGTGTGTGTGTGTTCTTTTTTAAAGGGCCCTGCATGCGTTGGTCATGCACGCAGGTGTTTCCTGAATAGGGATGAGGTCGTTGGTGTGCCGATTCATATATGTCTGGCGTGCGTCCCACTAAACTGATTAATGTTACCTTACCTATCCTATCAATTTAACCTGATTAGTTAATAAACTAGAAATGCGATATGGCTGTTTTCTACCCACGTCTAAATTGAACCTTAACTGATCTTTTCACAGAAACAAGGTGGCATGCTACAGTCGGTCAGGCGCCATTCTGAGATCCAAGCCCAAGTGTTTCCGTTTGCAGCGTGTGTAGTGCGGCCGCTGTGTCTGCATTTGGAGAAAACCCTTCTTATAGCAGCGTCGGGACAAAAACTCACAAAAGAAAACTAAACAAGAAAAAACTCCAAGCTTTAGACAAAACTCTTTTACGTTTAATTGTATTTGTAAAACCCGTCCTTCTACCTTTTTACGTATAAGTGGGAGACCAAAAGGCAACAAGTTGCCTTTTTCTCTATTGTTCACCTAGTCTTTTACCTTTTTGTCTTTCACCCCTGTGGCATTTTCAATTTGACTTGTATGTTTTCGACTTTTTGCACTCCACTTTATCATAGTTGACTGTTTGTCCTCTTAGTTCTTGACTTGAAGTTTTTTGTCCGCTAGTCATCCTCCCTCCGGTCGCCTGGCTTACCTCCCAGGAAATATTCCTCAAGTATGCTCTGACCCTGTCCTAACCCCCACTTTCTGAAGCGTTCCCACGTCATTGATGCTTACCGCTGACTAAATCCGCTTGACAAAGGAACATAAACTGAGGTGTCTGTTACCACATCTGCCTCTCACCCTTCATTCTTCTGTCATGATCCTATGCACATATGCAACGTGTTTTGTATTTTGTCCGCAATGAGCATGACATCCTTCGTTTCAGAACCCTTACCATGGCTGCCTCATCAGATATGACGCCGCTGGATCAACACATCGAGCCGTTCGACCCTGACTCGAGCTCGTGGGCAGAGTGGGAGGAACGCCTGGAACTGTTCTTCGAGTACAGTGGCATCACTGACGAGAGGAAGAAAAAAGTCGCATTCCTAACGGCATGTGGCAGAAAGGCATACGCTGTTCTTCGCTGTCTGATTGCACCTCAGAAGCCGATGGACGTACCTCTTGCAGAGTTGCTTCTGGTTATGCAATGTCAGGAGGATTCCACCCTTTCAGTCACCAACAGCCGGCGCAAGTTCGGCTCGTGTGTCCGTCGCGCTGGCCAACAAGTCGCTGACTACGCTGCTGTTCTCCGCCAAAATGCTGGCGACTGCTGTTTTGGAGATACCCTCGGGGACAGGTTGCTGGAACAGCTCATTTTCGGAATAGCAGATGATCAAATGCAGAGAAGACTGCTGTCTGAGAAGAATCTAAGTTTCAGCAGCGCCGTTGCCATTTGCCGCACTATGGAGGCGTCGAACTCAGATGACCAAGTGACGATCAGTGACCATTCATCCGAGATCGCAACTTGGCCAGACTCGGAGAGCACCAACTGGGTAAGCTAACCCTGTTGACGCAGCACGTGGTCGCACCATCAGTGCTGCCGTTGTCAGTGAAAGAAAATACTATTTTTCATTTCTTTATGTCCGAACCTTCTCAATGAACGTAATTCTGAGATCAGAACCTATGCTCAGCAGCGCGTGTAACCATGATCTCACCAGCCGGTGGAAAAATTTAGGGTCAACGGCATAATTTGGTGGCGAAGTTCAACGTGCCACTACACTGCGTACGTTCCGTCCTGTGGCCTCTTGTGCGGCTGTTTTCACAAGCCGAGGGCAATCCAAGTCAGTGACAAATAGCAAACGTGTAAAGCGACCCGACCCCACCCCACCATGGGTCGGTGAGTCAAACCGTAGGCGCTCAAGCCAACTGAGCAGTCGCCACGGACTTTTAATGTTTGTTATACTGCTCATCATATGCTGTACTTTTACAGCTGTAAGCTGAAGTCAAATCAGACCGTTGAACTCAGTTTAAAGGCTCTACTGGCTGAGAACCAATGAATCGGCGTTTCGCAGCATATGATTAGCTTTATGGGCTCGGGATTTGCGTGTAGAGTGCATTTCCAAGGCATGAAGAGGCTTTACGCTAAGCATTCCTATTGCTGACAACACCCTCGTTGGCATGCCAGGCAACGATTGTTTTAGGTTGAGTCCTAAAAATTAAATGAAACCCACCTTCCAGCGCCATTAACTGCAATAACCGTTATGCTAATGGTGGTACAAGTGTCATTCAAGACCGTGCCAGGTTATGTTTCCAAAACTGCCTTGTATTTAGAGTACGATTATCCACGATGCTGAGTATGGTAGGGAAATCTTGGCTGGTATTGACCTGAGCCGCTGAGAATGCGGGTATGGATGCGTCATTATTGCTTCATATATCCGTCCTGGGACCTGGGCATGGATGGCCCACTTCACGCCAGTGAAAAATATGTTCAACTTCGCCATGGTGGCTCATTTCCAACGCACCACTATGCCCTTACGATGAACATCTCATGGTGACTGGCTGCTCAGCACTTTGTACCATCTCGAGGATTAGGAGTTCTCAGAAACAACCTTTCAATCGGTGGATTACGTACCAGGCCAACCATAGGTAGGGCAAAAATAGGCGACGAGTTTTTTCGGAACGTTGTGAAATTCGGGGTTCCATCGGTGGTACATTCCCTTCGCACAGACTGAATCTACGTAAGACATTAAACATTAACTCTTCGTGATCAACATCGCCGAGCATCGCCAAAATGTGACCCACAAGGTTGCTGTTATTTCACACTGGAAAGAAGCTAATGTGGCCGTTCATTGCATTGGCATTGTAGTGGCATTCACAGTGGTATGCTTTGAATGAAACTTTTCGAGGGTGTTCGGACCAAATCTTCAACAATTCTTAACGTTTAATTTCATACACGAGTCAAAGGACTCGCTGAAATTTGTGGAGAAGTGGACGATATGTGCAAGTAGGGAAGCCTTAAGACATCTTATCAACACAAATTGGATGATAACTTCGGGCTGCTCCTCTGCAAACGCAGCAAATTATATTTATCTATTGCATTGCAGACATGTGATGAGGGCGAGATGGGGATGGAGGGCCTGTCAGCCGAGCTGGACGCCTCGAGGAAGGCGTGTGCCAACTACAGTACTGAGTTACTCTGGGTGAAGGCTGCATATGAGGAGTCACAGCAGCAGCTCAACTGCATCCGCCGCGAGAACATGGTCCTGTCCGGCAAGAACGAGGTAGACTCGCCGACTCACAGACTGATGTTGTCTGGTGTTCAAAACCTCTGGATCTGGTGAAGGCTTCCGCTGCCCATTTTCTCCCGTGTCTCTGGCGAAGCAAATATTGTCTGACACATGAGAACACCTGTCCTGATTTTGCTAACTGTGATCTGCTGTAGCTGTGTGTCGGGAAGCTATTATCAGCCATCACGACATGCCGTTGGAGGCAATATGCTGGTCTGCCGTTATGCTGCCGTTCTCTGCTGTTAACTATAACTTTCGGAAGCTCAACTTTGGCTCTATTGACGACAACCATCTTTAGCTAGAACGGCCAGAAGTCGTATAACCTCGGCAATTGAAGTCAATTTGAAACGATGGCACGCGCTGAGCCGCAACGAAATAATTTTATCTTGTTGACTTACATCGGGCTTCTTTGCTTACCCTCTCAATCCTCGGATTGTCGGAAAACAGGAGGCGGTCCAGCGCTACCAGGCCGAGATCGGCGAAACAGCGGCGCGCCTGGAGGAGGAGGTCCGGGTGAAGACCGAGCTCCAGGCGCAGTTGGACGCCTCAGAGCGAGCCAGGGACGCTCTTGGCGTCCAGCTAGAGGAGAGCAGAGCTCTGCTGGAGCGGGCCGAAAGCAGCCGGCACCAGGTAGGCACGAGGCCGCGGGTCAGAGTGAGTTCACAGGAGATCAGTGAATATTGACCGATAAATCTGCGCGACGTCGCCAGAAGATAAACCTAGGTGCTTGAAAACATCAGTTGTTAGTGGGCAGAACCAACTGCTCTGCAGGCAAGCAAGAAGTTAAATGAGGACGTGTTTTGGTACGTAGAGAAAATAGTTCACTGCTGTGGAATTCCAGTATAATGTTGTGGAAGCTCAGAAAGGCTCATCGGTGTAAGTGTGCTAGCTGTCATTTGTGTAATGGTTTTTCAGTTCAATTGCTTGATCTGGACCTAGTTTCATAAACCTCCGTAAAAACGGCCTAACGAATGTCGACCAACTTTGGGCACGGAACGCGAGGGCGGGGCCACACTGGTGAGACTTCTATGAGGCAAGCTACTTCTACTAACGAAAGCTACTGGGCGATTGTGCAGGACAAACTTCTCAAGAGTTAGGGGTGCATCTGACATGTGCCCTTCCCCTAAGAAAAATGAGGGCTATGGCTGCTTTCCAAAAACCCAAATTGTCTCCCAAATCTTAAAATTTATCTTCCCAGCGACTACGATTCTCAGCAGCGTGACGACCTAGACGCATGAATAGCGTTAGTGAAACTTAGGAGTCGGTTCATTAGTGATGATGGGGACGATGATGACGATGGAGTTTCAGGGCGCGCCGACTACTGAGGACATTTCGCGCCCACAATCTGTTCACTGTTTGGCATTAATAAATCCACTAATTGCACAGGAACCCCAGTTCGACTATCGGGTTCGCGGCTGAAACAGGACGAAGGGCCCCGTTCGGCATTTGGGTCATTCCGTTTTCACTTATTGACCCGTTTGATTTGCGTGTCACGTATCGCTTTTCGTTGCCAGACGCCCCGACCAACGCAAGAGGTCTTCTGATATTCGCAGTTTCGTTCCACTTCCTGTTCTGTAAATGTGCCCCCGGCTGCATCGGGATTGCTTACCGACAAAGGATGCCCTGGTAGGCGCTGTCCGCCCTGACCGATACCACTGGCCCTTAATTCTTTCCGGATCCCCGATTAATGCAAGAGGCCTTCACTGACATTCGCGCGTCCCGATGTTGTTTGGCTTCACTTCTGTTCCCTGGCGAAGCTGGATCTGGCCGGTGATCTGGACACGCCAAATGAGACTTGTGACGTCACTGCCATCCCTGGATGAAGATGGACTTGGCTTTTGCTAAAGACACCCCGGCTGATAAATGTGACGTCACTGCTGTGTTTAGAAAGCATGTGCATTCGCTGCGAAGAAATGTCTTATTGATTTTCACAAACTATTATTTTGTAACCTCCATTTTCCTCGTGGCATGCACGTTTTTTAAACTTGTGGTTTCAGAATGAAACATTCAGGTCAGATGGTTTTCTCGACTTCAATTTAAGCTCATCCAATCGTGATTTGTACCCCGCCCCCTTCCCAATCCCAGAAAATTGATAGCACCCATTCTATGCGGATCTGTACCAGACCAGAAGGCGGGAAAAATAATCGTTATGACATATGATGATATGCCATTGATGACGTCATTACTTCCCATGTGGAATTGGACTTGACTGGCAATAAAGGCGCGCTGACCGTTATATATGTGACGTCACTACTGTGTCCAGTTTAAGGTGGGCCTCGCCAGTAGTAAGAACAAGACCACCTCACCTGAGGAGTGTAAAGTCAGTGCTGTCACCAGATGGAGCCGATCCCCTTCAGTATAAGGACACGCTCTCGGAGATGTGTGACGTCACGGTTGCCCCCAGGCGGAGCTGGACCTGGCCAGTAGCAAGGGCGAGCTATCTGCGATGCAGGCCACCAGCCACGCAGCCAGTATCGCCAGGCAGGAGCTTGAGAGTGAGGTGCAGTCACTCCGAGCTGAGCTCGAAAGAGCTCTGCGCCGGGCGGCTGAAAGCAGGGACGCGGTGGATCAAGCCGAGGCCACTGCTGCAAGGTCGGTTGCTATGCAGCGAAATGGTAGCCGTGGTAACGTCCTAGTTGATGTGAGCGACCGTATCGCCAGTTCTCGAGCACTTCCTGGAAGCAGTTTTATGCTTACGGAAGACGCTACGGCCGATAGATTGTGGGTTAACATGTGTGAGGCCCACTTGCTTGAGAGCTTCAAGCCTGTATGGTGATTTATGCCTGCATTATAATGTTAATTGCCTGGTCGTGCTGATTTGACCTTCTTGCTTTATTTCTGACGTGTGAGGCCATGAGACAAGTTAGAGTTTTAGGTGTTGTAGTTTTGCGTCGTGGTGATAAACACCAGAAGGTCAAGCGCCGTATGGTCTGGGCTCGACCAGCTTTGCATGTCAGTGCACTTGATGCGGTCTGGTTAGTGTGATGAGCGATCGCCGCCAAAAAACCCGAATCAAGCACATGAGCGCTGACAGGCTTCAAAACATTTTACACATTGTCACCGAGATCAACCGCCGTGAAAGATCTGCGATATCAAGCCAGCAGTCTATCAATTCCTGAGCAAATTATCGTACCAGTTTCAACGGAATGTCGCGTGGTCTTGCACGCACCCGTAGTGGCGAGTTGGCATCTGGCATCTGCGTAAGCGACATCTGAGCATTCATTCGTGACGTCACCTGCGCATGCGTGTCTCCGCCCGGCTTGGCGCTGTCAAAGAAATTCAGGGGCGTGCTCGGGACGGTCAGCCATCGGGCAATGGGCGGTCGCGCGGGTACGAGTGGATGTGGTATCACGGTAGGTTTCCATGAGCGATGGCTGTTTCGAGATCAAGACGGCATCGGTCGGGCCGAAATAAGCCGTTTGTTGCGGAGGGTGGTGCACGAGCAGAAGTTCAAAAGTGGGTCTCACTTGGGAATGCAGATGCTCGTGTAACTTCACTGTGAATGAGCGACGTGCGGCCCAAGAAAGCGGTGGGTTATATGAAACAGGTCTGGAACGAAACGTGGATATCAGTGGTAGCCATTGCTATCATCAGTCGGTGCTGGAAATGTAAACAAGAAGTGAAATAATGCGAACACGAAGGAGAAAGGCGTACTAGTATGGACTTAATACTAAGGAAAAGGAAACTCTAAATTACCCCCGCTGTCACGGTACAGGTGGCAGAGCTACTTAAGTCGGCTGACCGGTCAGCCATCACACGCTTCATCGGGGATGCCACGCCCATATGCTTAGTGAGGAGGGTACTTGACATCACTTCAATGTAGCTCAATGCTTTCCAGTTTAGCGGGAATTTTGGGAAGTGGTGGGCAACCGGCCAGTCGTCACCGCCGATGTGATACATATCATGTAACAGCACTTGTAACTGAACTGATCTGGAGCCGATCTGAAGTCAGTGCGTATCGAATGACCTGAATGAGTGCAAAGCGTAAGTGCTATGGCGTTCCTTGCATACAGCCCGAATCAACCAGACCAGCCATGTGATGGCATGACAGTGGCGAGATAGCAATGTTCCTTTCGGCACGTTCACCAGGCAAGAAATTGTCCTCGACTTCAACCATCAAAGGGACTGTTTGCAAACCTAACTCCAGCCATGTGGTCTTCAACCAGCTTTGCCTCGTTAAATGCATTTGGGTTGCAGCATAAAGCGTGGTCGATATGCAGTGGTCAATTGCCGACGACATATTCGGCGTAAGACGTGATATTTGTTGAGCTCCAGAGGTGCATTCGAATACCAAAAGTCTAAATCTGCGTTTTGCTCTATGTTTAACAGCTGCGCGTACTGCATTTTAAATTTCAAACGAACGCAATGTAATGTGCAAAGAATATACAACACGATAGATTCTCGCTCGTTGCTGCGACATATGATGCATCTCTTTGATGCACACAACTTCTGGATATTTGCTTTTCCTGTCAATGAAACTGGTCCATTTTAGACAACTGCTAGTATAAGATGCATGCATCAAGCTTAAGCATTTTGCTGACGGGGCATGTGCGCTATGATGGTGTGCTATTGTGAATCATGATTGGTCACTCTGCATCTGAACATCGTCGTAGTGCTTTGTCTCACCACCCGACATCATTACGTCACATGGTATGTTGTGACGTCACTACAGGCTGGCTGACGAGCAGCGCATCGAGCGGAAGCGATCTTTGGGCCTTACGAAGCGGTGGAAGTTCCTGGTGGCGCAGGCCATGATGCAGGTAGGTGTCTCCGACGGCCTCTGTTGTAAAGAGACTCGGATCAAACTGACACCAGGTCAGCATTCCGGTGAGGTCAGTAAGGAACAGTGATACTTTGGGTCGGTTATCGATAAGCAATGGCTATGGTTATGAACGGTTATCAACAAGCAAGTAAATGGTTTGATGGTCATCATGGTTATGGTCATGGCTATCAATAAGCAAGCAAACTTGCACAGGCGGT